TGCACTTATGGACTTCAACTCAGCCAAATCATCTGTATGTGCACGACATAATAGCCGAGGGCTTCTCAAATGATAACCAAAGATGGAAGACATATGAATTACTCGGCCTTTGTTAGAAGGCGCTCAGTATTCGCAGCATAGAATAAAATTCTCCAAAACTACCACGTCTTCAAGATTACCACTTCACGGTGTACAATGTCAGTATCTAATTAATTGTTCCGCAAATTATTTGCATGCATGATTAGTCCAGGCTAAGCAATCACCACTGTTTGAAAAAACTGTTCAATGTAATAAGATATCAAAAATTCTGGCAAGACATGCATTGCTTACAGTGGGCGGAAGTTGCACGTGGTTCTTTTGTCGAAATTTCTAGTTGAGCTCACTAGGATGTTCATTGTGCTTGCGGGCGGAAAATGTGCACAGACTCGCCTCTGTAATTATTTTTTTCCGAGTTATTATCACCGTAGACTCATTATTTTACGGGTAACTCATGCAAGATTTAGGAAGACTCGGAGATACTGATGACCAATACCCGTGAGTTGAGTTTACTGACATATTGCTCGATATCGCTGTCGAGGTATGCAAGCCTTCTTTACTGGCAGTGGAGTACTTTGTCGCTTATAACGAAACGCCGGTCAAAGCAGACAGCATAATGAACCCGGCCAGCGCATACGACTGACAACGAGAGTATACACAAGCGAACTTTTGCTACACATGACATCTGTGATCAGCAAAATGTAGAGACTGTATCCGCAGGCCAGTTCTTGTTGCCTCAGAAAGACTGGCCTAAAGCGCTTCGTCGCATGTGTTCCACCGAAAGTTACTATACCTAAACAGTACTATCTGCTGCAACCAGGAAAGGCAGGTATGGCTACAGTACCCTTCTCCTGATTGCGGAATGCATAAGTCGGGACCCCCGAGGTTTTGCCAGGACCGGGGTCATGCCATCTTCCAACCAAATATTCGGCAATCGTTTACTTACTCAACACATAACCAACACTTCCGGCGGTAGTTTTGGATGTCATATGTGGTAATGACCTTGCCGAATTCATCGCCGACTACATGCCGCACTCCACCCGACGGCGTTCCATACTTCAGCATGGCCCTGAAGCTGCCCAACTCTTCTTTGGTTAGCCGTCGATTTACCGGAAGCCGATCAAATAAAGCGTCGGAAATCTCAGGATTGTGTTCAAGATCATAAGACGTGATCGTGAGAAGTTTTGCCCGAGTCCCTAGACAAAAAAGTAATGGACGATCGGTGCTTCGCCTGTTGTTTGCCACGATTGGCTTCAGTGCTTGCAAGCCCTGACTGTAATTGGTTGACCGTACTTGGCTGTGATTGGCCCAAAATGTGGATGCAGTTGCGAAGTTAGGAGAATTCTTCCAACTGCTTGTTCATGTTCGGAAAGTTAACATAACTGCGTGTTAGCGCCTACACGCGGTTAATACCGGGATATCCAAATTGAAATCTTTAAGGACATCGCTCTGTAATTTCGGGGGGGGGGTACAATTATCTGTTCTGCGAAATGCGTGGGGGGTGAACGTTGGTAGAACGGTTGAATTTGTTTATCGAGACATACTGCAGGCCACTGTGTGCGGTGAAAATGGAGTACATTTTGAAGTAACGGATCACGAGCAGTAGCGTCGTGAACCATGGCAGAAGTAACTGGGAGTGCGCGGATTGTAGCAAGCACTGAGTTAACTTCTGGTCTCACCGTTATTGCAGCGACAACAGCGTCCTCGGGTAGTTGACGTTGAGAATCCATGAGTATTGATTGTGCATCGGCTTGGCCAGTAGCCTCAGTAGACTGGTACTTCATGAAGAAGTAGCCCAACGTTGCAAACGGTTGGCTGTGTAAGCATGGATGTCTTTCTTGGATACGAAAACGGCGAGAAGGGACTTATGGTCAGCGATGAGCGTAAAATGACGACCATAGAACATTTTGCGGAACGTCTTGATGGCGAAGATCTTTGCCGAATCTGACCATAATTGCGCTCGGTAATTGTTAGAGATCTAGCTGCGTGGGCAATTGCTTTTTCGCTTCCGTTGGGGAAAACGTGAGAGGACAGCTCCAATGCCATAGTTGGATGCGTCTGAACAACAGTAATGTACAGGGCTGGATTGTAATGTGTGAGTAGCAGATCAGAGTTGAGAATTGACTTTGTCAACAGCGGACTGGCACTGATGTGACCAGTTCCAAGGCACATCCTTTTTAACAGATGATTTAGTGGTTCACGGACACGATGCATGTCTGCGAAAAATGAACTGTAATGGCTTACCAAACCTAGGAAGGAGCGTAAGGTTGCTAAATTCGTCGGTGCTGACATTCGTTGTATGGTAGAAATATTTTCTGGGTCTGGATGACGACCTTGGGCCAAATGATTCGTGAATGACAACTCCCAATAGGAACCTGAGATCAACGTTATATCTGGAGCTGTGTCTAGCTGCAGACGGATTGGAACTTTGTTGATGGAAACTGTAAGGTATTTTCTTCGGGACTCAAATTCAACTTGGAATGTTGCAAACACAGATCGGGACTGCGGACATTTGTACGACTGATTTTTGACTGTGTTGCTGATTAGACTGTCGAAGCTGTTTTGGTTTTTTCTTGGGTGCGGCGGGGTTTTCGGTACGACAGATTTGTGGCCCCACCGATGACATATCTGGCACTGGTGCTTTTTGAACGGACAGAAACGTGCATAATGCCACTCGCCACAAGACCAACGCGATGTTGGCCGGTTTTTCTTATGTGTGACAGTGGTTCCATTCAACGCCATGACATCACCGGGATTAGTAGATCGTGACTTTTGCTGCACCATTGCGGTATCGTATGTAAGATTACGCAACTGTTGGCATTCGGTAGTAAGTATTTTCACCGTAATGTCCTCGTGCTCAAGCTTGGAGAGCAGTCGAGTGCGAATATCTGATTCCTGCCGGAGCTGAAGACCAGCAACGAAAATTAGACACTTGCACTGATCCTCTGTAGTTGGCTGCAATGGAAATTTTTCACACTCATGGTTGACGATACCGGCAAAAGTCACATAATCGTCGGCATCGGGCTTAGCCAATTTGAGACAATTGTATCGAACATTAAAAAGTGAATGTTGCTCACCGAAAATTCCACGGGGTTGTTCCACTGTGTGCGCAAAGTGTAGATCCTTTGGATGTTTGGGAAGAATAAAGTTCGTGAACTGATCGTGCTCGAGGGTTCCAAGTTTCCGGACCAAGAGACGGGATTTCCACGCATCATCTTTGTCGGTAATTTCATTCTGAAAGGTATCTTCCCAGCGACTGTACCATGAATTGAATGTGAGACCAGATGCTGGTTCGTAGAGAAATTTGGTAATAGTTGCTTCGATAGAATCGGCAGAGGATGATGAAGTACCCATTTGAGATGGAACCGATGTCTGAAGACTGACAGCTTTAGTAAGAGACTGAGTAATTAGTAATTGCGATTGTTCGAACTGCGCTTGTTGCTGTTGAAGGATCGCCCACAAATCCTCAGCTGAAATTGGCGTGTTTGTGTTCGCGTTGGGTTCCCGTCGCCAGTGTTATATTTCCTTTGATAATATATCAGTCAGACACGCTAGATCACCGGAATGGAGAAGACAAACAACTTCGAAGAAGTTATGCTGCAAACAAATGGATCGTTCCGTGGTATGAAATTCAACGGAACCAAAATATAAGAAGAGCAAACAGTCCAATAGGATCATCATCATCATCAAAGACGGCAACATCTGTGTTGGAACTGTTGCTTCACTTCACT